CGGCGCCGGAGCCTTCCGGTGTGTCACTTCCCCCACCGCCCCCTCGCTCGCTCCCCGGCGACTTCCGCGCCCGCCACCATATGTTCCTCGCGCCCTCCGACACACGGCAGCCGGCGGCGGCCGAGAGAGGCAGCCGACGCGCGGGATCCCACACAGCCGGGCGGCGCGCCCACGCGGTCGCGGCCGCCCCGCCCTCCGACACGTGCGAGCGAGCGAGCACGGGGGATGGACGCAAAAAGCAGCGGGGCAGATAGTGGCTAGCGCATGACTAACGCCACATCCGTGTGTGCAGTATGACATATGCAAACAGCACGGCCGCGCTGCGCCGCCTCGCGACGCACGCGTGATGCAAGCAGGGGCGTGATGTGACAGACGCAGCGGCGACCGCAACCGGGAAGAGGGCCGTGTGGGGGCGCGCGGCACCCGAGAAACCGCTGACCGCAGCGACAGCGAACATGGCGCAGACGTCACCGCCCACCGGTTTCATCAGCTATGAGCATTGACACCACAACTTCATTTAGAGTAAGTAAAAATAGCCGGCGGCTAATCAGCTGCGCGTCTTATCAAGGGCTTGAAATAACTTGCCGTGTGCTAACATACGCATTCGCAAGTGTTGCGACTTCCTTTGGCACATGTGTCTGTCAGTTATTGAAACCGCCACCACCAATCACACCACTCAAACATGACAAATACACACACACAAATAAAGGTACTTCTTGGTGATTTTGCACTACGCACCCACATTTCGCATATAAATATGCAAATTATTTAAACATATTATAACAATTATAAATTAATTAAATATAAGCATTTATAAATACAAATAATGTAAAAGTAACAAAATAACTACAATCGTTTAAATCACTAGTATAATCTAAAACAAGATCAACTGAATTTTAGGCAAATAGGGGAGGATAGGACAATTCATTAGGGGGAAAGGACGAAGATGGAGAACATGTTACCAATCACATTCGCGTTTTTTGCTTTCTTTTCAGATCGCTTACTTTAATTCAACATTAAATTGGAAGCCATATATTCCATAGCATAACTAATTACCAGCTGTTGGGCAATAAAATGACAATGTACCTACAACCGTAGGACGAACATTACGTAAATCAAACGCTTAATACGATTCAGATAAAATATGAATTTATTCATACATTTTTAAAATGTATAAAGGAAAGTATATTTACAACTGCAGAAACAGTACACCAATAAGTTGGTTGAATCGGTGATCTTCATTATTTGCATTTGCCACTGGGAGGGGAAAACTTCAATAAAATGTTAAACTTCACCACATTGTCTAAGTATAATATAAACCTAATGTAATCTCTTGTTCGATACGAAACAGATGTAATTTACAAAAAAGCGTTCCAGAAAACCCAAGATGTGAGAATTCAATTTATTTTTTGTCCAGGCGTGGGCTTTGTTGCTTCACATGCCCGTAAAATGACTGTCGCCCCCAAACATTGACGCAACCGCTCCCGCCCCGCCTGCATACAAATCTGTTTTCAAACACCGACTCTTCCCATCCATCATTCCACCACTCCGCCTGCACAACAACTACCTCCAGGAACAGGTGCCGTTCCCATCCGAATTCGGTAGCGCGGCAGGTAATATCCTCGCCCTTTCTCGCCGGAACACGCGGTCGACTAATGGTAGGTTTGGTCCACGTAATTCATTGCGAAAGAAAATATCGAACCTCCAATTAATCAGCATTATATAATATTAATTACAATAATCGCTGAAATTAACGAGATGCAAAAAAAGGGATGGCTCAAACTGGATAGTTTAAAGTGAGTGGTTTGATGAAGCAAGTATATTTACATTTTATTAAAAATAAATACAAGAAAATATTTGTAACAATACAAAATCAATACACATCGTTGTTTTAAAATTATTTCCCAGATCATTTAGCATTTTGGCCCCTCTTCTCCCGCTGGTAAGACCCGCCCGCAACAGAAGCGCGCCTTCCTTCTGTTCACAGAGGAGCTCTTATCGTCCTGGCTGGCCAGACAGATGACGCTATTAGAGCGCGCGCCAGAAGGGCCCGGCTCCTCGACCACGACGGCGGCGGCGGCGTCAGAGACTGCGTCGGCGTCAGCGGCGCCAGCGCGGCACCGGGCGCGGGCGCGCGCACGGGGCGACGAGAAAAGGCTTCACCAACCGCCCGGCAACTCGGGACGGCGCGGCGAGGCGGCCGCCGCCACCGCCCCGCCGCGCCGCGCCGCGCCGCCTCAACCGCCGCCGCCGCCGCTTTCGGCGACCAGATGAACGACAAAACGCGGCGCCGCGCCCCAGCCACGCCCCCCCGACGCCCAGCGCCGGCGCCACGGCGTCGGCTACGCGGCGACACACGCCCCGCGCGCCCGCAAGGTAATTAAAAGCGCGCTAATCCCGTCAAATACTGGTAAAATGTGAACAGGTGTTTGTAGTAAGTGTTTGTCCCCTCTAGAGACCCCGCGGTGGAAGAAAAGGAAAGATGAAAGGAGGCGGAAGAGGGGAGTGCCGAGGCGAGGCGAGGTGAGGCAAGCGTACGGCCGGTGGAAAGAGGGAGCGGTGGGAAGGAGCGGGGAGGGCAGGGGCGGGGAGCGGGGGATCCGGTAATTGGTCCCCCCTTCACAAACCACAGCGGCGGAGGCGGCGCTGGCGCTGCCGGTGGCGGTGGCGGTGGCGCTGGCGACGGCAGCGCGCCGGGCGAACCGGGATATGTAAGACGCCGTCGCGCGCGCGCGCGGTACGTTCGCCCCCGCCATCCGCACGCCCGCGGTCCGGCAGGTCGGCAGGCCGGAGCGATAACTCATTCTCGACCGCTTTCATGAGCCAAAACGCCGGGCGGCTGGTCTGTCTCGGCTCGGAAGACGAAAATGTGATAAGTGCAAAGGGCTGTTCGTTACATAGTGCACATTCGGGTATTAACTTACAAATTTTCGAGGAATAATAAAAAAAATCAATAACAATAAATCTTAATATCGTGCATTCTTCTAAACAGGTACTATTGTCCTTTTTTTTCGAATCAAAAATAAAGACACTGAATTCATAATTAAAGTTCATTCAAAATTTTACCAGTAAATTCAGCTTCATTTTGTCCCTTCTACAGAATTGCTTAAAAATTACTTCATTAACAACCGAGGAAATATATTTCATTGAAGTATAATGCATGCTTTGACTCAATATTTGCACAGATGGGTTATCATGAAACGCCATTGAATTCGGAATAAAAATGTAACTTTCTCGTCCCCAGCTAGTTATAAATCAAGGAAAATAATATAGCCAATAATTTTGATTAATAAGTTCACCAAGGAGCATTCCATAATCGCAGCGCAAATCTTCAAAATATTTCACGGGAGCTACGACAATAAATAGCCTTTTACGCCATTTCCATTTCTTTTATCAAAAACTATGTATTGTTAGAGAACTGCCGCTTATACAACATAATATTCAGATAAATTATATTCTATAAACAATCTTTCCATAACGTATAGGAGGGCTTTAAAAATAGTAGTTTTCAACGTCGAAAAGTGCACAAAACACCGAAAACATTTCATAAAACAACTATAGAAATTGAAGTTCTCGAATGGAAGAGATTTTTGAATTCTTTTATACTGCGCGGCACTCGTGACACACAATATAAAAGGTTTGCCCGGCGCTAAACTGCAGACAGACCGCACCTCTCATTCACGCAGAAGCCTCGCCACTCCCAGAAACTTCGAGCATCAATGAAGTAAACACTCGTTTTTTCCAGCGTTACAATATATTTTCTATACTACGCAAGTGGCACAAACGGAAGTAAAAATAACCTCCAACCTCCTTAAGACACGAAAAAATAGTAGCTTGCAAGGGGGAGGGCTACCCCTTCAAAAATTTTGAAAGGGCCCCTCATAGACTTGCGTAATAAAATATTTTACTTTCATAAACATGTTCAATCCATAATTTTAATCGTTTTTTAACCCGACAATTTGGAAGATTGTTATAAATTAGTGGAAGTAGCCATCTGCTAACCTTGTAAAGTGTTCAATATAAAATAATTTGTATTTGTCAATCATTAAGATTATGATTTCGCTATTTGTGTAGTACGATTTATTTAATTTACTTGTAACATTTCTTATGTGTATAAAAACGTTTACAGGAAAAGGGAACCCAGAAATGAAGTTTGTTCCACCCCCGGTTTTAGGCTGATCTTGCTTATTGGAAAACTTGTATTGATAGTCCACCCGTCAGTTTCCAATGCACTGAACACGCGGTTATCCCAAAACAAAAAAAATGAAACCCAAATTTTATTTCCGTTCATGTGTAATATATTAGTTACGAACAATGGCTAATTTACTATTCCTTATGCAAATTTTCATTCGATTTCCCATGGCGCAAAGACAGACATCATTACAAGTCTAAGACGCTGAGACAATTCCGAATATCTTCTGCATTTGGTTCCGCGGCGAGGGTGCGCGAGCAAGAGAGTCGGCGTTGAAACGTCGAGGGGAAAAGCGAAAGCCACGAGGGCCCGAAGAGCGCGGAAAGCACTTAAAACAGGCTGGCGCCAGGATGCGCTCCCATGCCCAGACAATCAAATGCCGCGCGGAGTAACGAAGCCAATTGAATCTTTTAGTTTGGGAACGTTGCCTCTGGTTTGAAAGAATCCCCATTTTGCTGCTTTATTGAGATTTCTGGCTGTCCTTTTCGGCCAGGTGGCTGGACCCATCGGCAGCCGTTTCAACCACCCGTTTCCGGCTGGGTCGTGGAACTGATCGTCCCTAAGTAACGAAACTTCTCCTCGAGTACGTCGTATTTGGCTCTGGCATCGAAACGTCACTGTGCAAAACGGCATCGCTAACTCTGAACTCTACTGATAGAAATAATTCTTGATTTCTTCAGAAAACGTAAGATTATTTGCTCCTGGGTCAGTATTATTCCTGCATTGCGATTAAAATTCCTGAAATAGTTATTTTGTATCTATTCATTGAAAGAAGACCCGATGTATTTCATTTACACTAGCTTCACGTTCCTAAACCCATAATGAGATTTGATAATTAATCTATTTTTGTAAAATAAGATTCACGTACAGGAAAATACTACTTCATAGTGTGATTACAAACATGAGTGGAAAATCAATAATAGAACGTACTATACCGTAAACGACAATTTATTTTGCTATCTTGTTATTAGTTTTCACATATCTGAATAAATGATAGCCTTTCAATTTATATTAAACTAAACGAAGTGATTCTGTGACAAAGGAGAATATGATAAATAGCTCTTGGTAACACTCGTGTGGTTATGAACATACTTTACCTATTTTAAGTAACGTGACGTGATCCAATCTATTAATATAGTTTCCAATAAGCAACCAAAACAAAATTCGTTTTGTGTTCCTTTCAAAGGTCATTCGCATCAAACTGAAAACAAAACTGTATCATTACCTTTCTGTACGCGTCGGTGTTTTGATATTTTTCTAATTTGAAAACATTTGAATTACGAACGCGCTCATTTCTTTATGTTCGAGACAAAGAGTAAGAGACGAGAGTAATTATACATGTACTTCTCCCTTATGCTTTTACGCCACAGAGACATAATTTCAGATTTACAGAAGGCATCATGAATGCAATGCTTTGTAAAGTGCAACGCTGATTAAAATGGCTTACAATAAAAATTACCCTGCTTTTTTTCAACGCTTACGTTTCGTTATTTCCTATAACATTCCCCTAACAACTCCACGTTCTTTTCGGATACAAATTTTTGGAATTTCAAGGCACCACAATTTTACTTGCGCGCATACTTCTTGCGCCATATATAGTTTTATTACAATACAGCAGCGGAACCGGAGAGTTTCGTCAGAAAAACTCATATTGTGGGTCACCGACACAGGAAAAATAGATAATTCTCGCTGCTAGATGTAGAAAATATCTTCCTCTAATACGTTATGTCGACAGAATCAACTTTTTGCAATACCAATAAATTTTTCCTGGGTTTATGGCTAAACGTCTGTCCGCCCGTCTGTGTCAACAATGCTAGCGGGTAAACCGTAAGTAGGCTTTTCACCAAAACTTATTTCCCAGTAGCTTTCACTGATGTGAATTTGAAACGTATCTTTTGATTTTGAGGGGTTCTTTGCTCAAAACTGGTTCCAATTTGATAGTGTGAAAACCCGAACGGTATGTAACATTTCATAAATTCTGAGAAAACGTTTATTTTAGGCTAAATTTCACTGGCAATGTATTTTCGTGGTTTTAATGAACGATTGAAATGCCGTAGTTTGAATGATGAAACACAGCACCACACCTTTACAGTAATGACGACAATAAACACACTGCTCTGAATTCATAAAATGTCACTTATACAGTTCTGGTTTTCACCCATTCATTTTCCATTTATTATTTAACTTTTATAAAAATGACGCCCATCCGAATTTCCTTGAATTTACTAAAATAGTAGAAGCTTATTTTGAAGGTGTCTTCCTACAACAATACTGAATATTTTAGTAATAAAAGCTCTTCAAAAAATATAATAACAATTTTTTTCAAAATATCGCGCATTTTGATGTGTAATTTCCCAAATAAATATTTCACATATCGCGCACAATTTGGCGCGAAAAAAGCAATTTACAAACACAATTTCCTCCGAAACAGGTCGTTTTCTTTTAACTTTTTCCGCTCTATCTGTAAAATACGCTTACAAAAACTGTCCCGGTCCGATCTTTGTTGAACTCTGAATTTTTGAAAATAGCAAAAGACAAAAATAATGGCAGAAAGTATGTGTTGCTGTAGCCCAACTGATTCACCGTTGTTAATTAGAATTCTTACAATAAAACAATCCTAAGAAGCAATTTCTTTCTATATAGACAAAACAATTTTATCGTGTCCTAAGTTTACGTAAAAATAAGGGCAAGCAATTAAATGGTTTATTTTTTAATATTACGTAAATTTAAACAAATATCCATTCTTCGATTATATATGAATTTATTCCTCGATCTTTACCCTTCAGAAAAATTAAACTTGTCTTCCGTCGTTTACAAAATGGCTGACATGAAGCCGAGTTGCCTCGACCCTTCGAGAATGTTTCTCCACGGCGTGAATCATGTACGTTATATCGTGATATTCTTTCGATAACGGTATGTAGTACCTGATTTAGTAACTGGAAATGCAAAGTAAAAACGGAAGTAAAAATGTATTTAAAAGTAATTTTAAAAATATTACTTATAAAGACAATGGTAACAAAACAATGAAACTACAAAAACCGTCTAGGCTAAAAACTTGTTTCCGCATGCCTAGTCACTTCTTAATTTATCTTTTACTCAATATTCAGCATCTAAAACAGCAATAAACGCTATCGGAACTTCGTCTTAAGATGCGCGTGATTCGAACAGCAAATTTACTTAAATG